TCTCTAACCAATCAAATAAATCGTCAATCATGGGCAAAGGATATTTATTCTTGATTGTCTCCTTAATCAGCTCTCTGTCATCAATACATAGCCGCATTGATCCATCTTTTTTCTTGACAAACAATACTGGAGCACTCCACGGTGACTTACTTGGCTTTTGAAAACCCTCATTGATCAATTCCTGTTACTGACCCTTCAATTCTTGCAATTTTTTCAGAGTCTTCCTCTAAGGGGATTTGAATATTTTGCATACGTTCGTAGTTGCACGTCAATGCCAAATTAAACTTCTCATTTTGGCGGTAGTCCTAACAATTATTTTGGGAATACACCATAAAATTTTGAAGACATTGAGATGTTTTCAATTTCTTTACATCTTTATTTAACACTTCTAGTTTTGCCAAAAATACTAGCTCACAACTTCACAAACATTTCTCAACTTTTACTGCACTAATCAGGGAAGATTGTGCATTTCGATCATATAAGATATATAATGGCTTTTTACCAGACAATTTCAGTTTCACCCGTCTTTTCTAGCCTTCCATTGTAGCAAAATAATTTACCAACCAATTCATCCCCCAAATAATATGAATTGCCTGAATTGGTATGATAATCAACTCTGATGACAACTTTTTATCATGCACGTGAACATGAACTACACATTTTCTATTGACATAAAACCCACTTCTCAAATGCATAGTAACACAAAATTAGATGTAAAATGTATAATATCAACATGTAAACTGACAACAAACTCATCAGAAATAAAACATTGTGATGCACCTTAATCAAATAGAACAGGGCAGACTGATCTTGAATTAGGAGCATACTTATACCATTTCTTCAGATTTGTTGGCTTTTTAAGGGATAATTGCAAAATCTCGGGCTCTTAATTGGTTGCTCTGTTTTTCTTTATGAAGTTTCACCCTTTGTTTGCATTGAAGAGTTTTCTAAAAATTGAGTTTTGCTGGGCTGATTGACCTCCAAAAATTTTTTGGACTGTCTCTATCCTTCGATTGCTTGTTATCTGTTGTTTTTCTTCTTTTCGTGCGACTGTCCTCATTTGTAACATTTTCCGGACCTGATCAAGCACAACCCAAAATTCTCTTCCCACACTTTCCACAAACTAGATTTTCTATTTGAAGCTGTTTCTGCTTGCCTTTTGATTTACTTTTTCCTTCTTTGAAAGTGCTCTCTTTTGCCAAAATTTTTTCTCTTGCCCACTTAGGGTTGCCACTGATGACTGGAAAAGTTTAGCTCATTTTCAATTCTTCTTGCCCTTTCAACATACACAGAGAAATCACTGATTTTAAACGAAGCTAAGGCTAATCTCAACTGATCTCTGAGCTTGCGTAGAAATCTGTGACTGTTTTCCTCCTGGGTGTTGACATAGTGGGGTGCGTATCTGGAAAGAGAAGTGAATTCTACCTCTTATTGCAAAATTGTCTTGGACCCCTGAGTTAGATTGAAGAACTTCTGCAATACTAATCTGGCTGAAGGTGGAATAAATCAATCTTTGAAGTCTTTAACAAATTCTTTCTAATGAATCTGTGGAAGAGGTGTTAGTTAAAAATTTTCCTTATGCTGCGCCTGCCACTACCTTTTTGCTTCACCTTTTAACATGAAAGTAACTAGCACAACTTTTCTCTTTTCATGACAAATCATACCAGGGAGAATTTTTTCAATCCTCAAAAGTCAATCTTCAGCAACTGTAGGTAGGATCACTAGCACCCTTAAATGTAGGTGGCTTGAAAGACCAAAATATCTTTAAGTGTCGATCCACTTATGCTCTAGTTTCAGATCTGGGCCTGTACTGATGGAGGATCTTTAGATAACATCCTTTTTATCAACCACTAGTGATATCAGTTGCACAATGCCCTGTAGCTCAATAGTTCTAGTGTATGCATTTGTCTGATCCTGATTTTCAATTTTTCCAAAATAGTGTCAGCTCGAACTTCATGTTCTTTATATGACCTGAAAGACTAACCTTCAGTACTTTTTGATTATTTTGTAGATATATTTATTTGTATTGGCACAGTCTATTATTTACATACAATTTATCATATAATTATTTTTTCGTGCACACGTGGCACTTTAAATCGTAAGGGTTTCTCACCATAGATTCATCAACCTATAGCTCTGTATAAATCAATTCATATTTATCTTATTCTTTTTCTAAATCTAAGTTGCTTCCATCATTCTTTTCATCCAATGACCATGTTTAACCATCCTCTGATACCATTTTCTGTCACACCCAAATTAATCCCCTTTTAGGGTCGGCTGAGGTGCGATAGATCCTTGCAATTTGGTCATACCAACTCTTACCAGCACTCGTCTTGACTTTTATAATTAGGACCTAGTGGGTGATGAAATAGTGTAACTGGTTTGCCGCAACATATGTGATACATTTATTTCAAATACATATTCAGAAGCATGACAATCATATAATCCAAAATATGAAAACTACAAAAATGCTAAATCGAATATAATAAAAATACACATACCCGAAACGTATGTACAAAACACCCCAAACTATCGTGCAAAAGCTGTAGAAAGACACACCTGACTACTCGCTCCATTGCTCGTTGCTCCTTCCTGGAAGACAATAATGAAGAATGAGCAACAACGAGCTCAGGAAAATAATTGTGACTAAGAAACAACGTGCATGCTTGTATGAAACTATACATGTTTGTATACAATCATAACATGCTGGAATAATAAAAACTATGAAGACAGAGCATATACAGGTAGTACAAAAAAAATAATTGTATTGTAACATGCAGGTCGTAAACATAAAATTATAAGTATATAAAAACATGTTCATTCATTTCATAGAGACCATATCATAATAATATTACTTGTTTAATGTATAGAGTTTAACAATTTCCATTTTCTTTTATCATACGTCGTCACTTTATTCCAAATGCCATATAAACTATCGAGAAAGGTTGGGCTTCCTTCAACATAACAGTTATCGACAACCCCTGCTGATACCCACAATTCCCTGACATTTTGTCATCGCCTAATTCCAACAGTTTTTTGAGTTTCGTCCCCGTATAATTATCATGTGCTTACAAACATCCATGCAATAGTCCACCCCCTAACATTCCTTGTGACATTTAAATCATCACTCTTGCATCAAGCAATCAAGCATTTATCAGACATTAGACATTACATGTATTATAGGCATAGACATGAGGCATAACAAATGAATACTTGCGAGAAATTCATATCATATGCGTATTCATATGTAGCATAACGTGATCATAACATTACATATCATAAGAAAAGTAATCGTGCTTTAATACATTTAATTGCTAGTTCATTTACAGTATGCAGGAAATTCTAAATTGTATCTGTGCTAAAATTGAAATCAACTTATAGAAGATTATTTTAAATTAGCACAATATTATTTCACCTTACTAGACCGAGTAGCCCAACGACGAGTTTCTATACGCTTGCATCGAGCTCACTATATCATGTATACAACCAGGGGAACATAAACATCATAAAAATTCATAAAATTCTTGTTAAAATATGAATTATCTAAAAAATGTACTAATTGCCAAAACATACTTCAAAAGAGTTTTCGAAATAAATTTGTCTTTTTCAAAAACACCAAATTTCTTCCCAACTCTTGTAACGCGTTAATATTCACTTTCCCTTTCTAATTTCGTACTAAAACTCATATGTACGCTTTCAATTTGCTTTCAATGCTTCTGATACAATTTCGGCACCTCCGACGATTATTGAAAATAAGAAAAAACACGAAAAATGAGGTAAGCTTCAATATGTAAGTGTGTGTAAGGAAATGAAAGCCTTAAATATCGTGAAAGAGGGATTGACACATACAAAATTTATCCCGGAGCCCTAAAATCCCAAGTTATGGCTTCTCAGTGCCGCCCCACCTGGTTTACCTGCTAGTTTGCGGCCCTTGTACATTAGCAAGGGCTGCAAGGGCTGCAAGGGCCGTGGGATCTGCTTTTCCCGAGTTGTAGTGATCGCGTGAAGGAGCAGGACAATCAGAGATAGAGAGGAGAAGAAGGAATAGGGGAGGAAAATCAAAGCACGAGACTCCGTGTTCGACCGAATGAAGGGATTAAAATGCATGAGGGTCGGTTTTGAGCAGTGGATCTGAGAATAATGGGAGAATGTTTTAGGGATTAATTAGATTAATTAAATGTATAATCGCAAAATTTTATATTTTCCAATCCGTTAACGATTCATGCCTGATGATTTATTTGGAATTGATCAATTTCTTGTTTAGAATTTTATAAAAATTCCACGAGATGAAAAATTTTGTGGTACATTTCAATTGTGCCAATTTTTCTTTGGTATTATGAAATTTTTTTGCGTCAGAACGATTTACTTTTATTTGCTCGCAGGTTGAAAAGAAAAATGCCTGTTTTTTCTCTTATCCTCTGTGTGGGTACATATCTCTCTGATATAAAGTTGAACTACAGTATGTGGTTGAAATGAGAAATTTAATTTTGATTTTTTGCCAGTAGCTTGTACAGAATTGTACCAAGAGCTTTTGATCACTATTAGGTACGGTATCCCGGTTTTAAAAAGTGAAAACAATGACGTGCAAAGTACAATCCAGCACCTTTATTAAAAATGTTTGTATTTCTAAGTTTCTCCTTATGTTGGATGATTACTAATCTGTAGTTGATCATTCAATGCATGGGTCATTAGGCTACCAATCATGATGCTTCAATCTTCTAAATTTGCCTGCAACATATGCTGATGAATTTTCGTTCTTATTAGCATTGTTCATTATAATATAGGCTTTGTATGTTTTACATCTATTATTTTTTGTTCAAACAATATAACTTCTTTTCTGCCTCATGTTTACCATATTGGTTTTGCAGAAGATACAACATTGAATTTTTTTTTTTTTGTAATGAATTATCATTTGAGAAGTGGAATGAACAATTTATTTTTATTTTTTTGGTATTGAAATATCATTTGAGATATGGAATGCTCTTCCTATATTATTTCAGGCTTACTTATCCCTTCCTGAGGGACATGCAACTGCAGCTGGATTAATAGCGATGATGACTGATCATTACAATATTTTGGTGAGCTCCAACATTGATTGTCATCATTTTTGTATGCCTATACGCCTGTAATGTCATGCGCTGCACTTGGTTTGCAACTTATTGATGATGTCCTACTCTGAAAACTTGTAATGCATTTAAACAGTGTTTATCTTGCAATTGAACACATTTTAGAAAACTGCTGTTTCAGTTCCTGAATTAGATTCTAAGACATGTCTCTACATACCTACTTAAGTATGTCAAAAGAACGAAGTCCGTTGGTAGCAGTTTACTTCTTATGGTGTTTATTTTGGCAGTTTTTGAAACACTAGTCATTGTTAAAATATGTTTGTGGCAATTTAAAATGTGAGGTTGAGGTGACTGAAAAAATGGTGGTTGAGGATCACTGCCGTTTGGAATTTGCATCAAATGAATGGTGCAACCATGACAATCTACTCTGAGTTAGCTCTGATGTAGAGCCATTTGGTGAACTAGGCACTCACAAATCTAGGATTACTAGAGAATGCTCTACTAAAGTTTTATTGATATTGGAGTTAACCCAAACACTAATAGGGAAAGCAAATAGAGGTTATAGTCAGAGACACTTGAAACTAGGAAATAACAAAGACACAACACGACTCAATTAGAGCTTAGGACGACAACAACAGTGCTATGGTTTAAGGGGAAATAGTAACTAAAGTGGGTCGGAGGTGGTTGGATGGGCAACAACAAATGGTAGGTGGCTGGAAGAGGGTGGCAGTCACTACCCGATCCAGGGCTTGGAATCAAACAATGTTGGTACAAACTGGCAGACAATGAGAGTTAAGTTTTCTATATTTATTTTCTATAGCTATTTATTAACAAATGAAAGAACAATCCAAAAAATTAAATTAAAGCAATATAATTAAATTTATCTCATTACAGATTGTCTGTGTCTTTTGTAAATATTTTCTCTTCTATTGTTTATTATTTAATCAATTAATTACACTTGAAAAGTCAATTTAAAGCAACAGTGAACTAACTAAAGCCACCAAATACTCATATTTCTAAATTATAGTAATACGAGGAAAAAAAATGTATGCTAATTAAGCTTTCAATAAACTAATATAAAATATTTAATAGTTTAAGAATATGATCATTTATGATGTTTCATGCTATTCAATGGGTTTTACTATATCAATAACATATCTATATCATCCTATATCTGTACAATCGTCACATGAGTATCATTTAAAAAATGATACCAATTAAGATGCTTCAATATCAATATCTTTTTTCATTTACGTGCACAGATATTTTAGTGTCCCTTGCGTGTACCATAAAAAATGATTCCATCATGATCAAACATGAACACAGAATCATATATATAATCAATATCATTCATATGCCATCCTATGATAACAATATAATATTTGTATCTTTAATGACATATTATAATTTTTACTTAAAGGAGATCTTACATTCAAGTATGACCAATAAAAAGAAAAGTACATAATCATGAGAAATGGATACATGAATTTTATAAGTATCAATAACTCATAATATAATTGATTGAGATGAAACAAAATATTTGTCACAAATTGACTCCTGGCTTGGAATTGATAATGGTTGATAGCTAGACCTCCAACCATAAGAGCGGGCACGGGCGTAGAAAGAGCCACAGAAAATTCAGCTCGTTCCTTTGTCCGGAAAGAACCGGTCCAAACTCGGGAGGGCTGGTTGGTCCTTCCACCATGGATTGGCGCCTCTGTTCCATAAGGAGATCCAATCCGAGTCATCTGGGGCATATATCTGTGTGTTTCCTTTATCTTAGATTTTCAATTTTGCTTTCAGATTTCTATCAGGATAGCCGATGGCTCCCCTTTTACCCTCATAGGGTTGTATACAAAGCGAGAAGGTGCTCTATTGTTCTCTGCTTCCATACAACTTCCCCTCTATTGTTCCATACAACCCTATGTGGGTAAACGGGGAGGCCATCGGCTATCCTGATAGAAATCTGAAAGCAAAATTAAAAACCTAAGACAAAGGAAACACAGATATATGCCCCAGATGACTCGGATTTGATCTCTTTATGGAACAGAGGCGCCAATCCATGGTGGAAGGGCCAACAAGCCCTCCGGAGTTTAGACCGGTTCTTTCCGGACGAAGGAACGAGCTGAATTTTTCTGTGGCTCTTTCTACGCCCGTGCCCGCTTACTTATGACTGGAGGTCTAGCTATCAACCATTATCAATTGCATGCCTATGGCTTTTTTTTTATATGTACAACCTCTTATCATTCTTCTTTCTTTTGTACTAAATTGTGCCATTAGAGATATAAACTTGTGATTAATACCATTTGATTAGGATTATATTGCACAACTAACAACTAAAAATATTTCAACTTACACAGTTAACAATTATTGATCTAATAGGCTCGTGTTTAAGTAAATTATGATTGTTTAGTTGGCCAACTAAGTTAAAGTGGATTAACATTAGACTAAACGTTGGGTTAGTCACATCAAGCACAAATTCATGCCCAAACTCAAGTCAAAATTAGACCTACGTTAATCACAATATTATGTCCATGTTAAGCATAAAAGACAGGGATCTTTATGAAGCACAAGAGTGTAGGGGTAGTATTGAATTGAGTTTGAGAGAGTGGACCTCCACTCGAAGTTGAATATTTCATTTCCTAGTATAGTTGAAAGTGTTTAATTTTGAGAAGTTTTGGGCTAATTCATGTCAATTCCACTGATTTATATAATATATTTTTATTTTCTTATCAAATATTAAACACACACACAAACACAGATATATATATATATATATATATATATATGAATGGATATGTTTAAATATTTACTTTGAAATTATAATTTGAAATATAAATTACATACATACATCTATGTGTATATATTAGTTGTGCTATTTCATTATGAGCACCATTATATGTGCTTTGCATAAGTCAGACATTGAATTGACTTCAAGTTAAATACAACATATTTCAAGTAAGCTACCTTGTTAGCGCAAATTGATTTTGATTTCAAATAAATCTCGGTGATTCTAGAGCAATTTCTGAGTTTGAGACATGGTTTTCAACTTTATAAGAGACTACATTGGCAACATGTTGAGCTACAAACTAAGTCAAGAGGGCTTCATTTCAAGCTGCAAATCTACTTTCCTAATGAATAGGTATTGGCTAAAGTAGGATTGTGGAGGGAATATAGTTGATTGCTAATTCAATGCCCAATGGACACATGCTAGAAGGTTCAAGACTACTTTTCCATTTATTTGGGCTGATTTTTGTGTAAATTATATTTATTAACTCGTGGCCGGGAGTATATAAAAAGATATGAGTCTCATAATGGATAACTTTGCTCCAATAAATTACTTTTTAAAATTTCTATTCTGTTGGTACAAGTTGGCCTTCTAGTTATTTTCATATGTGATTCTATAAATAGATTGTTTTAGTTATGTTATGGATAACTTAGATGTAATAAAAAATTTTATTCTAATTTTCCATCTTGTGTATGCCAGTTAGATATGCGGTTCTTTCGAGTATGGTACAAACCACAAATACTAATATGGAGAAGCCTTTTCTTTGTACAAGTATACAACAACAAGCCTTTATCCCACTAATTGGAGTCGGCTGCGTGAATTCTTTTCCTCCATTGTGTTCTATTGAGTGCCATGTTTTTATTGAATTCTAATAAATCAAGATTATGTTTTATACAATATGCTCAAGTTTTTTTAGCTCTACCCCTGCCTTTGTGAACATAAGTCAAATCTAAAAGATCTACTCTCTTAATCAAATCATCAGATGGCCATCATTTAATGTGCACAAACCATCTAAGATGACTCTCTCTAATATTGTCTGCCATGGAGCTACACCAACCCTTTTCACGAATACATTCCTTTTGCATTTTTTCTCTTAAGTGTCAAACCACTCATCCATCTAAGCATTCTCATCTCACCTTGAATATAAGTCATATCCACACCTTTCTTTTCTAGAATTCTCTAAAGAACTTCTCTAGGAACATTATTGAATTTTTTTTCTAAATCAATAAAATTTAAATGTAGATCCTCATCGCTCTCTCTGTGCTTCTCTATCAAACATTTCTTTTTATATGCATGAGACTTGAATTTACTTCTCTTTTATGAACTATTTTCTTTATTTTTTTTTTTTAAGGGTCTGTTTGGGGCAACTATTGATTGTATATAATCTGCTGATAAACAAATTATTTTGATAATCTGATAATCTGCAGATTACAGATTAAGATTATCAGAATAAGCTGACTTGTTGTTTTAGACAACTTATTTAGAACAACTTACTGGGAGCTGTTGTTGAATAAATGACCATTCTGCTCCTGTTTGGTTAAGTAGTTTGCAACAATCTGTTTATGGAAAATAATAGATAAAATAAATGACTCAAACTATTACAGTTCAGTTACAAAAATTAAAGGACATTGCTCACCATTTCGTGAGTATCAAAAGAAATACAATAAAAAGAAATACAATTACAATTACAAGTAAAAAAATTAAAACGTTCAAGTTAAAACTTTGACGTCGTCTGTCCTCAGCGGCAGTCCTCTTCGGAAACCATCGTAACACGATCACTGTCGGCATGAGAGTATGTTGGAATGTCAGCCCAACGGAAGAAACCACATCTCACTGAAACACCTCTCTGACAACCGTAGTATTGTCTCCCACTGCTATGAGGCTGGCGTGACGTGAGTAAGGAAGCCGGTAGTCTGCAGTAACACAACACAACTCGGGAGGTTCCTGAAATCCTATAGCTCATGCTGTTACTGAGATAAAACAACAAAAAAATATAATTTGTCAGATCATAAAATTAAATTAAGATTTATATATGAGAACCAAAATAAAGGAAAATCGGTTCGACCAAAATACGCAATTATTTTCCATCATTCATCACTGACATCGCACATCCACAAAAAAAGGAAAAAAATAAAACATAAACTAAAAAAAACATAAACAAAACAAAACAAATAATTTAAAACAAAATGCAAATTCATATTACAGAGGAATTACATCAAAGCTTCCTTTTTTTTTCTCTTGGTTTTATAGAACATATATGTAGCCCCATTAGAAGCACAAATTTGATTCTCAACATGTGAACCAATGTAAAACCAAAATTCGCAAACATTCCAACATTTCGAAGCATACATTTCAACAGGAAAGCTTATGCTTTTTCAAATAACCGCATCATAATTGAAAATCCAACATTCCGAAGCATAAATTTGCAATATTTATACGATCATAGGAATAGGAAATACCACAAATTTCCTTAAACCGAGAGAATAGTCGAGAGAGTGAACGGAGATGAAGGAAGAAGCGGAAGGAACTCTCATGTGTCTAGGGCAAGAAGGCAATGATTCATACTGGAAAGATTGAAAGCCACGGTCTGCACTGACCCCTAAGGCCCAAGCAGAAAGAGGAGAAGAAAGAGAAAGGAGGAGGCGAGTGCGAGAGAGGTTTCCTTCACTTGGGAATGCACACTCGGTGAAGATAATTCCTTATGTGCGCCGAGCAGAGGGCGAGGGCGAGGGCGAGGGAGATATCAGAAGGGGCAACAGATGAATTCTTGCCCGAAACGCGAAACTCATATGTGGGACGCGGGGTTCCTCCGGCTTGCGAAGCTAATAGGAATATCACGATATCCGAATGCTGCGACACCGAATCATTCGACCGAACGCAGGTTTCAAACGGGACAACGACGTTTTAAAAACGCCACCGTACCCTATAAGCTGCCCCAAACTGGCACTAAATAATTTGTAACTAATTGATACGACTGGTTTTTGGGCCAAGGAGGAAAATTTCCAATTGCTTGCGAAATTTGCGCTCTTGTACTTTTTTAATTTCCTTATATATATATATATATGTTTCTATTATTGCATTATTATTGAGTGTTAATTCTCACAGTCTTTGATTTTCAAAGCTGAAGTTTGCTTGTGTGATTTACATTCTTTGCATTAGCTTAATTGCATTAGAAATCCACACATATAAAATAGATGAAGGGAGTGAAATAGCTAAATGGGGCCTTAGAATCTAGTAAATTTTGCAGGGAAAATAAACATCACCTTTCTTAACGAAAATGATGCAAAAATGTTAAAGAACACCATAAAAATGGCAGAGCTAGGAGACATTGTCGTTGCTAATGAAGTTAAAGTAGGATGATGTTCCATGTAGAATGAAAGATGCCTGAGAAGGTCTTATATTTTACTGATTGTACAAATGGAAGGCTGTAAGCCAAATGAAGATTAGACAGGATCTTCTAATTGATTCAAATTTTGCCTTTTTTTTTTTTTTTTGAGTTAAAATGCTAGCGAGTTTTAGTTTAACCCAAATATTGTCACTCCTTTATGTCTATGAGGCTAGCATCAAGAAGAAGCATGCAGCCAAAGTGCAATGTGCCTTCTCTTCATCAGTAATATTGAAGAAAAGCAAAGTTTGCTTGCACTACAATCCTTTCAAAGTCCTAAGTAGATGATCCAGCCTGGTTGGCTACTGTTCACTCTCCTGTATTTCTACAACAAAACATTTGGAAACATTATTTATTATTTGATTCCAGATTCTGTTCTTGTTGATGATTTGTATGGAGATTCTGTTCTTGTTGATGATTTGTATGGAGATTCTGTACTTCCCATTTCTTTATACATATGGAATGATTTTTGTAACTAATGGTTACTTCCCATTTGTTTATACATATGGAATGATTTTTGTAACTAATGGTTTTCTCAGATAAAGCACAACATTTGTATTTTGGTTTTTTGATCAACCGTTTGAAGTTTTTTTATATTTGTGTGCTCAACTCGTCTTTTAAATTTTTTAAAAGTATCTTACTGAGTTGTTCTTAGTAACTATAAATGGAAGCATGCATTGCATTATGCCATTGTTCTATGTGAATTTCAGGAATAGTTGCTATACGAGATATAAGTTGCTCTGAAATGTCAAGATATGAACTGTTTGAATATTGTAGAATTTTTCTTCATGTTCTTGATGAACTGATAGACAATCACCCAATATTTAGAATCTAGTTTAAATATTGGGAGTTTTTATTGGAGTTTAGATCACCTTGCATCTAAGAATACTTTTTAACCGCCTAATATTTTGGTGTGTTGAATTTGAAACCTTAAATTTGAGTATCAGTATTGTTAATGTTCTGTATGGGAACGAGGAAGCAGGAAATCATTTTTATTTACCATTAAGACAGTGTTTGGCTGCAGCTGCAGATTTATGTTAAGTAGGATTTATTAAATCTATGAAATCCACCAAAGCTTGCGACAGATGTGGCAGAGATGGAGCACGCCAGATTGGTGGAGTAAATCTGTGAAATTCGCCTCACAGTCAAATTTGATAAATCCGTATTTACGTTGCAGAACGAGCGAGAAAGAGACAAAATGGGACAAAGCTGGATTTAGGTGAAATCCATGACTTAATCTTGTTAAAAATGTGCTACCAAACGCCTCCTCAATCTCGTGATTTGATGGTTCATGAAATTGCCAATTTGCCATATTGTTGTTATGATGGTTCGTGAAATTTCCAATTTGCCATATTGTTGTTATGATGGTTTTTTTTTTAGGCAGCCTTCTTTTAGGCATTTGCTTATAGGTCAAGCTCCGCTAGGAATCACTTCTTTGTTGTACAGTATTCAAGTTCATGACCATAGGAAGGAGGCAGGGACAACTAACTATATGGTTTTAAATGATGGTATACCTGGTTTAAGGTTGTCAACATTATTTTTATTATCATCGTGGTAAGAAGCAGTGAAACTTTGACACTTTGTTGGCATACAAGAGTTTTTGTTATCAGCCATAACCTTTTGAAATTATTTAAAATTTCTGTTCATTTTTGTTCTAGGTTGCACTCTTATACTCGCACTAATCTTTTTATATGTTGATTTAATCAATTTTCATAGGTATGCCAATGAATTAGTGGCAATCTTTTTTATTGTGTGTTAGTATATTGATATTCATTATTCTATTTTCAAAGTTGTAGAAATTAGGTATGGTAAACCATATTTCAAATATTGTGAAATTAAGCTACATTTGATGGTGTTGACAATTGAATTTTGTAATTTGGTAACTTATATTAGACCTTAATGTAGCATTTTGAGCTAGTGCTTTACTGTCATCAAGATTGTGAAAATTAATTTAGACATTGAACGAAAAGAATGTGAGATTTAAGATTCAATTGTTTAATCGAGGGTGAAATAAATATTATATTATTTTAATATAACTTAAATAAGTAATCATCATGTAAATAATATTTTCGCTAATTCATTATACATTTTTTTATTAGGTCACTTCCCTCGGAATATTTTATATATAATTCTAAATTGAAAATTTGAGACTTGATTTTTTAACTGTTTTCTTTATTTTTAATCTAACCTTTTTATTTATAGTCATTTGATAAAAAAATGCCAAAACTTGATCAATATTAGAATTTCTTGGTACATAAAAAAGGAACCAGTGCATCAGTTCAACCATCTGTTTTGACCGGTTCTGCATAGAAATGATTTTGGACCTGGATGGAATCAGTTGGACCAGTCGATCCGGTTTAGTCTTATTCAGAAGACCATGATTGTTGCAATGATATCAATAATTTGTTTGAAACTGGTGCTTGATCATATGGTTTTAATTTAAGTCTCAATTGTTAATAATCTTTTACTCACACCATGTTGAGTGGAAAACAATGAAATAACATTGGTTTTTAATGGTAGTTTGGAAAACTGTTTGTTATGATTGACATTGCTAACAAAACTGCAGGATGGTAGTGATAGCGAGGCAGAAAGCAATGATGCATCAAGAACTTCTCGAAAAACGCCAAAGCGTGGGCGAGCGAAATTTAGAGTTGCATCCAAAGGTTCTGAGGGGCCTTATCCTGATTTACTGCATTATGAGTCAGCGTCGAGTTATGGATGTCTTTCCTTGTTGAAATGGAGGCGTTCTGGAGGTAGAACTCTCAAGTCATTGCATTTTCGTACATTTATAATTGAAATTTTAATTTCTTAGCACTCAGCAACCTACCTGCCTTTATGCCTCCCTTTTTTTTTCTCTTAAATATACATTTGTTATCTGCTTATGCTTTTGCCATGTTCGAAGTCTTAACTTTCAGTTAAGTCCCATGTAGAGTTATGTATACTGCAAGTTAAGATTTTTTTTGTCTTCCTCCTTAGCTTGCACAGGATTCATCAAGACATGATCCACGCTGCCTAATTATCTTAATATGAAACTTTATCATATTTGTTACATTATTATCAGAACAACGTTAAAGTTTGAAAATATATACTACTTGGGCAGTTCCTTGTAGGTGGTTTTTTTATGTGAAGTTAGCTAATAATTTCACGTGCTCTTGATCATTCATACATTTAGCTCCCCTTAAAGGACAACAGGTTATAAGCTTTTGTTGTGCTGTTTGGCTTATTCTTTTGCTGTAGATTAATTCAGTGTTTCTTAAATAAATTGCATGCCATTTGATTTTGTGTGGTTTTAATTCGATGGATCTTGTTGTCCGCTGCATAATAGCATGGGTTTAAATGCTCAACATTTGAAGTTATACTTCATCAACGCATAGGTTTCAGATTTGTAATGCATTGCTTTTATGTACTGTCTATTTTCCAAGTGGGAATATTAGAGCTTGGTAGAAGAAGTAAAATGTAAACAGACACTAGAAGAAAATGATGTTAATTAACTCTCTACCCATCCATCAATTGCGTGGTAGTTGCAGCTGTGCTCTGCTGCATTTGCGTAGGTCTGGCAAGAGGTTTTGGAAGCATTTTATAAAAGCGGCTAATATATTAAAATTGTGGTGTGCTGCAGACTCTCGTTAAATATGCAGGGAAATATTTCTAGTGGAAGCTGTCGGATATACACAGTTGCAAGTAGATTGGCTTCATATTCTTTTTTTGGTTTTTGCAGTTTAGTAATTGTCACGAGGCTGAAGGTGGTTTTTAGGCCGCTCTGGCTCATGGGAGAAGGCTTCCCTCTTCCGTCTTTGCGGTTGACTATCCTTATCAGTGAGATTTTTGCCAACAATTGAATGGTGCAACAATCAATGAAAAATTTGGAAGATAAGAGCTTTAGGATTAATATATAACCGTTTGAGTGCATAATATGCAATTATAATTGAAGTGAATTTGATATTTTTTACTTAATTTTATTATAAGATTAAGTTATACCAAAGTTTGATAGGTTTATGCATATGTACTGTATTTTTAGGGTTTAGGGTTTAGGGTTTAGGGAAGGATTGAATATCACAATGCAAAACAAACTTGTGCATTCTTAGTATTGATAATGAAAGAAAATTTCATCATTTTGGATTGATGTATGGTGACTTTTGGGGACTGTCCATAATCACAAATGTTTGAAAAACACGAAGGCTTATCCCTTTTTTTATTATTTGACTATAATCATAAGGATTTTCGTGATCAAATAGAGAGAATTGTAGCAATATTGTCCTTAATTTTTATTTAATGATTCAAAACTAATGTAATATAAAAATTAAAAACTTTTGTTCTCGCAATACAAGAGATTAATTCAATTATAATTTGACTCCCTATTTAGTGAAGGAATTGTCTTTGAATCATTATTTGTAAATGAAGCACAACAAAAAGAGATCATCGAAAATAAATATGACCACTCAATACCAATTAGGCATTGTTATTTTAAGGGAATGCTTCTAAATCTTGTATGGGGGAAGTTTTCTTTATTGCCAAATGCATGAGAATAGAATCAAGGTGACTTGGAATATAAGACTCCCATGGAGCTAGTTAAATTTTATCCACAAGCCAAAGCATTTAGTGAATGTGTATATAGATTAATTTATTGCACCTCTTTGCCCATGCTATTTTCACGACCCGATCCCGGGTTTGGAATTAACCAAGACGGGAACAAAAGTTGGGAACTAAATTTTTCTATATTTATCTACAGTTTAACAAATGAAAGAGCCACTGATCAAATTAAATTGAAACATAATATTTAAAATTTACTTGTTGCTGGATTTCTGTGTCTTCTATTAACATTCTCTCTTATAACAGTTATCGTTAATAATTTAATTAACTTAAAAAGTTAGTTTAAAAGTAACAATGAGCTAAATAAGACAGTGAATAATCATACTCTTAAACTACAGAAATACAAGGAGAAAAAATGTAAAATGCATGTCCGTTAAAATTTTAATTAATCAATATAAATATTTAACATGCTATTCAATGGATTACTATATAAATATCATGTCAATATCATTCTATATCTGTACGCCTATCACAGGAGCACCATATAAAACTTTTCATTCAAGACACATCAATATCACTATTATTCTTCATATACGTGCACGAGTACCTTAGTGTTCCCTGATGCGTACTGATTGTTGCGGCAGCCACAACAATAACATAATTCAGGATTGTTAATATTTCTTTAAATCTTTATAGTCGCCACTCTTAGCAATTTATTGTATTTCGAATATTTGCAAGGATGCTAATGCAAGTGTACGTATCGCACAAGTAATATGACTCTAATGAAGTCTTAAGTATTGATCCTACATGGAAGTTTGGAATTCTTATAATATTAACTCAAAGAAACTCTAATTAAACTGCAGAAAAGTGTTATCTAGAAAAGTTATCTAGGAATGCAGGTCGAAATTTGTGTTTTTAAACTAAGTGAATTATATCTACTACTCTTCTCTCTGGACTCAAAATAAATTTTAAGTTCACTAAAACAAGTTTTATGAAGAAGAGTTTAAAATTTTAAAAAGTATCATTCCCCTTGTAATGAGATTATAATCAATGAATAATTCAAATTGTTATAAATTATATTGTGTCAAATAGGAGCATACATAGTCTTTACCCTCTTATAAGTGTATAAAGAACGTTGGCTAATCCAGAGACAGGTTCCTAAATCCTTGGTCATTCTAGAGTTTCCACTATCACTTCGCTTGGAGGCAAATCCTTGGTTAGGCTGAGAAGATACTAGCTCTCATTCTAGAGTTTCCACTATCACTTCGCTTGGAGGCTAACATGTAGCCTTAGGTTCTAAACTTTTGGATCAAATTGGAGGCTCTAACTTGTCACTCTGGAGTCACCAATTTACGCCCATCAAAACTTATTTTTGTATTTATTTGCAGTCGATTACATGAACTACATTCTCATCCATGAGATCAAATGTGATTATTACTTGGTTGAGGAAAACATAGCCCTTTCGAATCGTTATATTTCACAATAATTTTAAACTTAACAATTGACCAGATTGATTAAGTAATTGAAGTTTGAAGTTTGAATCATCACAATTATGAAATTAAAGCAATTTTAAACAATTTCAATTTTTTACATGATTATTTCTTATTGCAGGGAGAAAGACAAAACAAGCTATTCAGATCTCATAAGGAAGATATAACAAAACATGAATATATTTATATATATATAAATAAGTTTACACAACAAGAACAAGTAAAACAAGTAAAGTACAAACTTATCTCAATCTCCTTCTCAAGCAAATCTTTAAAGTTCTTTTGAATCACTTTTTCTCCTTACAATATCACTCAACAAAAATCTCTCGCCCTCTCATCTTACAATTCTAAGAGACGATCTTCTTTTTCACTCTTCTCTTCTCCTTTTTGCCTACCCTTTTCTGTAATAAAATCATTATTATATAGCATTGGGTCGAATTTTCAAGAGTCTCCTCTGATACCTTTTCAAAATTTGTCCAAATTCAATGAATTTGGGGGAGAGTCCAAATTCAATGAATTTGGGGGAGAAACCGTTGCTGGCGCTTAGGCGCCATTCTTTCTGTATACTGGTGCTTAGGCGCCAGATCCCGACGCTTAGGCGTTAGGTCAACTTTTACAATGGGTCTCTTTTTGACTCCAATATCCTTCCTTTTTTTGCCAATTGCCCCAACTTATTTTACTTGCAACAAAAATATAGAATAACTTCCATTAAAGTGCAATATCATTAAAAATAGACATTAAATATGTATATAAAAGTAGCATTTTTTTAAACATGTCATCCCCCTACTAGCACCATCGAATAGTGACTGCATCATAGCCAAACATATATATAAAAACATAATATAAAAATATTATTTTTTAATAATAAATATTTCTATTTATTTTCATAACAGTTAATATCCTTGTACATGATTCAATGATAAATTAAACAAAGCAGAGCGCACATGTCATTCGTATAATATAAACAAAATTAATTAGAATTCAAAATCATTATTTTGCAATAATTTCAATATAACTACTGATATTACCAATAAATGCATTTGGTCTAATAGAAGTAGAATATTACCATAGTATAAGAATATTAGTAATCATCTCAATGTCGATTAAATTATTATTTGACTTGTCTTGACGTCGACTGTTAAAACTGGAAGCCTAAAATAAATATCATAAAAAAAAATTAATTTCTCATTTTAATAAACTATTAAATTTCCCTTATTGTAGTATGAACTTTCTATTATTTTACTTCAAGTAATTTTAATTATATATATAGATATATATATAATGTATGATATATAATTTGTATTGTGTGAGTTGGACCTTCTTTTAGACCATCTCATACAACCTATCTGTACCTTTACTTTTTAATATATTAGCCCTTGGGTTTTTATTTAAAAAAATTATAATGTATAAATTTTTTTATTTAAATATTTTAATTAAAATTTGCTAAACTCACTTTTAGTACTTAACTGTTAGTCGTGCCTTAAACCACGCGAGATCTCCCTGCTTTTGCCCTCAGGATCCTCCTCTTACCAGCACATAAGAAACCCGCTCGACGCTTCCTCCAGCTTCAACTCCCTTCTTCATCTGCAATAGTTGTGACGCCTCTTTTGTTACTTCAAATGCAGCTCAACCCAGCACCACACGTACGTCCCATTCCTCATCTCGATTCACTTGGCCTCCGCACTAGCCCGTACTTGTCTCCTTCATCTTGTCTCCTCTGTTTACGCTGATGT